GTTAAAGATTTAACAACACGATGACATGGCAGTCGCACGCCGTGACGTTGCTGACGTGAATGCCTAAAAAGCCTAAAACAACGTCGTCTTGTTGATATAATAATATGAATTTTCTAAAAAATCCTAAAATTCCTAAAAAATCCAAAATTACAAAACCCCCCTAAATTTATGAAAATCCCAAAAAATTGTAATCCCTAAATTCATCAACCATCGCCGACGATAGCACACCGTTTCCAGCACACTGAAGTCTCCTCCTCTCCCCTTGCAAGTCATTCACCATTCGTATTTCGATCGGTCACCGTTCATGGTTCATTAGAACATTTTATATTCGGTGGTTTGGTGATCTATTAGCACATTACTCTTCGATTTTCTACGACGGGAGAGTAGGGTAATTGGTGGTAAGTGTTTGGTGACGAAAGTGGTGGGCGGTGACCGTTGATTCGACGACAACAATGGGTGAAATTAGAGATGTAATATTTAGGGCTTTGGGTTTTGGGGCAATTTGAAATTTTTTAAAATTTTAGGTGTTTTTTTAGGCTTAATACAAAAATAAGTGCCTAAACAATGCCTAGAAAAACATTTTGGTGCCTAAAGAAATTTTTGCTAAAAATAGGTGCCTAACATTTTCTCAGTTATACTTTTAGGTGCCTACCGTTATAATTTTTTTAATTTTTTTTTTACTTTTTAATAATAAAAATATTATTTTAAAAAACTTAATTTATTTATAAAAAAAAAAAACCTAAACTTTTAATGAAATTATAAAAAACTCTAAAAACTAAACTATCTCATTTCAACCCCCATTACCAACCGTCGCTGGCCATCTCCGGCCACCATCGTTGCCGAGCACTTGAGTTTTGGTCGGAATTGCACGATGGTTTGAATGGTGGTGGTGGTGTGGCTTATGGATGTCATGAACGACCGTAATCGACAAAAAAGTAATGTTGGCTTAAAATCCGATGAACCTTTGAATGTTTCTCTACGGCAAACAGTGGCACTTTATGGCGAAAGACCAATAGAGGTTTGATCGTGGTCGACGTCGGTGCCGATGAAGGTGGTGGTGACGGTCACGGATGGCGACCAGCGACCATGGAAAGGGGAAAAGGGAAGGGGAAGTGGAAAAAGAAAGGGGGAGAGAGGGGACGCAGGCGATTGTTTGAGTTTTTTTTCTAATAAAAAATATTTTTATTTTTTAAATTTTTTAAATAAATTTTCATAAATACCATAATGTGAAACGTGTCATTTAACGGCCACATTTAATGGCCGTTACGGTTCAGGCACCTAAAAATCTCCGATGAAAAATTAGGCACATCTTTTTAACAAAATTTTCTTTAGACACTAAAACGTTTTTCGAGACAAAGTTTAAGCACTTATTTTGGTATTAAGCCTTTTTTAAAAATTTATTATTTTTATTATAAATCATATATAAAAATATTAACCAAAATATGAGAATCTGAACTGTATAATATGTATATTATATTTGTAAGAATATAACTAAAATCTTAAGTTAGTTGAATGGCTAAGCTTTAGCCTTTGTTTCAAAGCTCTAAAGTTCATATCTCATTAAAATCAAATTTTAACTAAATCGTTTCAAGTAAAACAACGTCGTTTTGGCTTTTTTAGGCATTAAAATAGTTATACCAAAACGACGTTGTTTTGGTGAGGCATCAACATCAGCAACGTCACGGCGCGAAATTACCATGTCATTGTGCCGTGAAATCATTAATGGCGGAGTGGTATAATTGCACTTAAAACTAAACGTTAGTTCTAAAATTGACAAAATTAAAATGTTGGTGGTATAAACAAGTCAGCGCCTAAAATTTGGTAGTATTTGAAATAGTTTACCCTTAAATTTATTATTATTATTATAGATATTTTTTGAAAATGAATTTAACAATCTATTCCGTATCACAAAAGTAATAAACCTTGTTATAAATGCTTTTTTTTAGTTATAATGTATTGGAAGTACGTGATTATTTCAAGCATGTGTATTATATGATATGTGAATTATGATTTATGGTGCATTATAAGTATGTGATTATTATAAGCATGTATATCATCATATGTTGATTATACATTATGATACATCGGAAGAATGTGAACATTGCAAAGCATGAGAACCATGACATGTGCATTATGTTACTCTTTGATGCATAATGATTTGGAAAATTACTTTGGAAACACTATGTGATATGTATATGATGGGAGATGAGTAGAACAACTCTAATATCCATGGATGAGTGAACAAGTCATTGTCCAAAAGAGGTTGATCAAGGCAACTAACTTATTCGACTTCAAAACTATGATTTGAAATGTGTATATTATGTGTTATATATTAAATAGCAACTACGTATGATAAACATGAATTAATCGATAAATTGTTCATTATGAGACCTTTGGATATGAAAGAAATGAATAGGAAATAGTACTATATGTTTTTATTATGTGTTTAAAATGGATTAAGCGATAAGGTTGGTACGTTGAGTTTTACTCCAAGAAGATATTAAGTGGCAAGTTGTATAATGTTTATTGTTATCATATTTTTCGTTGTAACACACTTGTGAGCTACATCTTTTGTTTAATTCAAGTGTGAATTAGTTGAGTGTTTAATTGTGTAAACACATTTGTCTTGTGAAATTTCTCTTTTGTTTGCTTCGTTTGGAATTACTTTTTGGGAGAGTGTATTTTAAATGGTATTAATATTTCGATGGTATGAGATTTCAGGATAAAGAAAAAATTGATGGTGTGGTGTCCTTGTTAAAGGAACAAGCTAATGTGTGGTGGACTAATGCCACTGTACACGTTACCCCCTAAGCGCGTTATTTTAGAGTTTTTCATAGAGAATTTTGTAACAAGAATATTGGTAATGTTTTTGTGCGATAGATAATGCAACAATTTCTCAATTTGAATCAAGGGAATAAGATAATTTGAGTTTGGGTGTGAATTTAATCGACTCAGTTGTTTTGCAAGAATATGAATGAAATAGTATTTAAATACGTTTTTGTAAAATTTTATGAAAAAAATATGTTATATCTTAATTAGGGCATGAGGATTTTAAATATTTAATAAAAAAATTAATGAATTCATCTCAAAGTTTATATAGAATTAAATTAATATAAATATAAAATATTCAATTTTACTTTAGGTCCAATACAATTAAGGGTAAATTACACTCGACACAATTGAACTTTGTCCGCTGACTTGTTTATATAACTGAACTTTTAACTTTTATGAATAACAACACTGAATTTTAGTTTTACATTCAATTATATCACTACATCATTAAGTCAATAACAAGACGATGATATGGCTAACGTTTTGGTGCGTCTATTTTAATGCCTAAATGACGTCGTTTTAGACACAAAACTTATGGAAAGTATCAATTTTGCTACTGAACTTTTAAAACAATTTACTTTTTTGGCACTGTATTTTTCGGTCGCCACCGTCAACCAATCACCTCCAATCATCGATCATCTTTCGTAGAAAAATTGGTACCAAAGCGTTCATATTTTACTCATCTTTCTTATCATGGGATTAGTTTTCCATAAAACTCACTCAAAATCGATGAAATTAAACAATTTTTAGATGTTTAGAGGCTTTCTTAGATTGATGGGATTGTGGGTGTTTGTTAGAAAATTCGAATAGTGAGATGCATTATTTGAGAAGACGAATAACATACCTCAAAACTAGTATCATCGAACGGTCAATGAAAGAGATCAGAGTATTTATACGTCGAACTTTTAAATGGATTTTGTCAGTTTTGAGTGAGTTTCGTGAAAAAAGCAATTCTAGGAGATGAAAGAGGAATGAAATACGAATGTTTTGGTACTGATCTTGTCACAAAAGATGACTGGTGACAAGCAATGATTGGTTATCGGTGGTGGCCGGAAAGTGTAGTGCCAAAAAAGTAAAATGTTTAAAAGTTCAATGGCAAAATCGATATACCCCTAAAGTTTAGTGTCTAAAACGACGTTGTTTTGGACATCAATAGTCGTCGCTAAAATGATGTTGTTTTGGTCTAGAAGACCATGTTAGAAACCGTTAGCCATGTCATTGTCTCCTTACTGGCTTAATATTGGAGTGACATAATTAAATGTAAACTAAAGTTCAATGCTATGGTTGGAAAAAATTAAAAATCAATGTTATAAACAAGTCAATGGACAAAATTCAATGGTATCTGGTGTAGTTTAACCTATAATTAAATTAGAATTTTACTTAGTAGTTTTAAAATAATTTCAACTTAATTGAAGTTTTATTATTTTCTAACTAAAAATAGAAAAAACTGAAAATATATTAATGTTAAGGGTAAATGGATATGTTTTTTAACCTTTAGGGAGATAAAAGAGTATTTTGAAAATTAAGAAGTGAAATTTCCACCAACGTACGGCGTAAGTATAATTTTTCCTCATCCCCCTCATTATTTGTTGTCTTTAAAACCAAAGCTAGGATTAGCCACACAATAATTTAATGAAAAACAGTGAGATATGACATAAATTAAAGCGTAAATTAGTAATTGAACTTTACTCTCTCTTATTTCACTTATTGTAATTTAAATCCATTTAATTTTCTCACTAAACTTAATATATCGAGTTATTTTTTTGTCACTAAGCCGTTTTCTCACTAATAGATTTATAAATGAGTTGGTATATAGATACAAAATGGCATCGTTTTGGTGAAAATTTTATTTTTTTTAAAACGGCGTCGTTTGAACGTTGTTAACTATTTAACAGCGAAGTGACAAGAAAACCAATGTATTAATTTCACTGATGGAATTGAAAACTTTTAAAGTTCAGGGAGAAAAATAAGAGAGAGAGTAAAGTTCAATGATGAAATTTGTAATTTACCCTAAATTAAAATATCCAATAGCCAATAAGTGTCAATTGTCTTGACCCCGATGATGAGCTGTGCTACATGTGAGTTAAGAAAGGTTGGAAAGTGCCATATGAGAGATCATATCATAGCCAGTAGTTGAGTTGGGGATTCAATTCAACTTCAATTTTTTTATTAAGTATTTAAGATGGGAAGTTAATAAAAGGGGTTACTGACTCAGCAAGGTAGATCAAAATTGGTGTACAAATCCCCTTTTCTAAGGTCATCTCTTCCTCTATTTATACTTCCACTCCCATGGCAATGCCACTATTTGAAATCCCCATAGCCATGGCAAGACCTCCTTGCTGTGAGAAAGTTGGCATCAAGAAAGGTCCATGGACCCCTGAGGAAGACATCATACTTGTCTCCTACATCCAAGAACATGGTCCAGGGAATTGGAGATCAGTGCCCACAAATACTGGTATATTACACGTTTTCTCTTTGGGAATTTTCATTTTTTTCATTTCTTTTTGGCTGATTCAAAATCTACCCTTTCTTTAAAGGGCTGTTGAGATGTAGCAAAAGTTGCAGGCTTCGATGGACTAATTATCTGAGACCTGGAATCAAGAGAGGGAACTTCACTCCCCATGAAGAAAGCATGATCATTCATTTGCAAGCTTTATTGGGTAACAAGTAATCCTCAAACTTAACTGTTTCCCTTTTTCAATGGATCATAGTCTCAGATTTTTCTCAAAGTTTGCAATTTTTTTATGTACAGATGGGCAGCAATAGCTTCATACCTACCACAAAGAACAGATAATGATATAAAGAACTACTGGAACACCCACTTGAAGAAGAAGCTAAAGAAATTTCAGCCTTCAACTACTGCAACTGATCAGTTTGCTTCAAGTTCTTCAGCTGCTGCTACTACATATGCTTCGAGTACTGAGAATATTTCTAGGCTTCTTCAAGGTTGGATGAGATCATCACTAAAGACGACTAAAAACGATAGCAATAGCTCTCTAGTCCTCAAAGAAACAACTTCCCAAGATAAAAAATGGAAAGCTGAACAAGAAGATGGTGTTTTGATCTCCCGTGAAGAGTTGGAGTTCATTTTATCGTTTGAGAACATGAACAATGTTGCATGTGGATCTACGTCAAAGGATGCTTGTGATGACGATCCTCCAATATCGTTTCTTGAGAATAAGAAGAAGAAGCAAAAAGCTGATCTGAACACTAACAAGAATAATAATAATCCTCCATTATCGTTTCTTGAGAAGTGGCTCTTGGATGAGAGTTCTGCAGGTCAAGTGGAAGAGATGAATCAGAGGATGGAACTGTCTTCAATTTTCTAAGTCTTTTCATTTTATTTTAAGCTTTGTTAATGAAGAAGAAGAAGAAGCTAGCAGAGCTGCAGATTTGTGAAAATTTAGTATGGTCCCAAATGATCAAATTCTTCATCTTCATTTATTTTAGTTTTTTTTTTTTTGGTTTCTTGGGCGAATGCATACGAAAAAGACGTATATTAACACCACAAACCTTTAGAGTGAGCAAACTTTGGAGTAAATGAATGGCAGTCTCCATATCTATAAGTGAAACTTCAAACTTAGAAAAGCAACTATAGGCTTATAATACATTCCTACTTTTGCAGCCCAGTTAAGTTGTGTGTTATTTATATATATGGTAAATTACGCGTCCATTCATTGAACTTTTAATGTTTTCAGTTTACTCATTAAATTTTATAGATTAGATTTTTTTGTCACTCAACCATTTTCTCTCTAACATCTGGATGACTAAACCCAATCCTACCCCCAAACTATCACCGACCATTCAAAATGAAAACCACCAGCCACAATTGCCAGCCATCACAAGAATCCAACATGAAACTACATTTACAGGCATTTCCTCAAACACCTTATAAGTATTCTTCAACTCCCCAGATTTTCCATAGAAAGTAACCAAAGAACTTCCCACATAAACAATTCTGAAAAAACCCAGTTCTATTTCTAAGCCATGATAGCACAACTCATACCATTTGACAGCACAACTAGATTAAAAGTTGAATCCTTTTTATATGTAACAGGAGCATCAAGAATTCCATTAAGGAAAAATTGAGAGATTTTTCATCACTAATCGAAATGAACAATGGAATAACGTTTAGAAGGGTCAGACGAGTTTGATGAAAAAATTTAACTCATCGGCCTTCGACGAGAGTGACCGACATGGTTAGAAGGGCAACTAATGTGGTGGTCGAATTTTAGATTAGTTTAGTGAGAGAGAAAAAGAAGAAAGAAGGAGAATGAAGAAAAAATGAAAATATAAGTTTTTAGAGGAAATCAAAACAACGTAGTTTTGAACTAAATTTGGTTTTATGTAGAAATCCAAAACGGTGATTTTTTTTTTTTATGTAAGTTGTCATGTCATGATGTCGTTAGAAAGTTAACAACTGAGTGTTAAAAGAATTCAACCTATAAATTCAATGAGTAAATTGAAAAAAAATTAAAAGTGTAATGAATTAAATAGGAAAGAGAGTCAAATTCAATGATGATTGGTGTAATTTACTCATACATACATACATATATATATATATATATATATATATATAAGATTCACATACACATTGTAATTTTTTTTAGTTTTATATAAATTTAAAAATGAGTGAAAATAAAAGTAAAAAATTAACACTTTTCTCTTGGAAAAATATCTTTTTATTTTTTATGGTTAATATCAATTTATATATATATATATATATATATAGACGATTCAATTATATAACGTAAAACTAAAAAGTTTTATCCTAATTTTTTTACGCTAATTTCTGACTTTGGTATGCAACAGTAAGCTTTGAAGCAAATGCTAGAAAAAGTAGGAATGAATAAATGAATGACAATATATCTCACGAAAGTCTTGCATTCAAATAAGACAGAAGCAAAGGTTTTTCTTTCTGGGAAACCATCACTCGTGAGATGGAAAATGTGATTTTATTTACCTTTTCGGTGTCAGACAAATCTGAAATATTAAAAATAATTATTATTTTTACTATGAATCGAATAAAAAATACTTTAAAAAGTTGTGTTATTTTAATTCCATGCAGCAGCAGCAATAATGATAATGATAATTCAAAGGAAGCTATATTGAAAGAAAAAAAAAGTATGGCATAAAATAACATAAATTTTTTTATAAGTATTATCTTATCTATTGATCAACTAATCTAAATCGGGTATTACACAGATAAGGGTGACCCTCTCAACTCAATTTACTCCATTCGTAAATGTCAGGATTCGAACCCCTAACTTTATTTAAGAGATCTAATATCTTATTTCACTAACCGTTGATAATAACATAATTTTTTTTTGTTTACAAAAAATTTAGGCAAGGGGTGGTTCCTCCAATCCAGAGCTAAGGCATACCTAAAATCCAATTGAGATTTACTTAGGCTTGAAATTTGATACATAATTTTTAAAGGGCTTGAAATTTGATACATAATAATAATAAAAAAGATAATGTCTAAATCCACATTAATTGCAATGCAACGGTATGTTGATATTTTCAAAGATTTCAACCTTGTATAAACTTTTTTTTTAAATGGTTTTATTGTCTGCAATATTGGAAATTTTAAATAATAAATTGTTTCTTTCTTTAATGTCTAAATCCACATTTATAACAAAAAATAATGATAATACTCATGTCTAATATTAGTATCGAAAACATATTTAAATATAAATTAAAAAAACTAAAATTATTTATTTATTTTATTAATCTAAGGTAATTACAAGATAGTATATGTTTTAAAGTTTCTCAATAATTTGATAATAAAGGCTCAACACCCTTACAGTCTTTGAAGCTCAAACCTGAGACCTTTAGAAATAACAATCATCCCTTTAACCATGGATAGATCTAGAGAGGGCGGGTGAGAGAGGTCGCCCCGCTAAAAGTTTTAAATTCCTATATATTTTCGATATGTTCTTTGTATTTTTTATTGAAAATATGTTTTTGTCCCCCCTAAAATTTTATAAGTTCTTCCATACTTAAAGTTTTATAAATTCGTCCCTACTAACATGAAATCATGCGTCCGTCCCTAGCATTAACCATTGAGATAGTTTAGTTCGTGCATCATTTGATTTTTTTAATTAAGTATATTTGTTATTCATCGAAGCTTGTGCACTCATTATACGTATACGTTGAATCAATATTTATATTGGAGTTCTCCATAACTATTCTGATTTGTGAATTTCATAATTCAATAACTTATTCATGTATTGTTGTAATTTCCAAAAATAAAACAACTAAATCACATTGAATTATAGTTGTGATATATATTAGACATCATATTATACAATACTAATTATACCAATGTCAATAATAATTTTATTTAGCTCTATATACATTATTTTTAGAGTATAAGTAGAAAATAACAAAAGATGATCCAATAATATTTTGGATAAAGTACACAAATGGTTCCCTTGATTATAGAATATTATTTTGTTGAGCCCCCGACTGTTAAAAGATACAAAATGATCCTCTAATTATAGGAAGTTGCTTTGTCGAGTCACTCTGTAGATACTCGATTTGTCCGGGGTCTTATTCGAAGTTAATTCGGATTTATTATTATTAATATTGTTATAAGTAATTATTAATATATATATATATATGTGTATTAAGTAATTAAATAAATAAATAATTAAAATGCACTAATGTTATCATTAATGGTACAGGCCTACATCAACTTAAAACAAGTTACAACAGGCTGGATTAAACAGCCCAAACAACAGAACCCTAAACCCGTTAGGGTTTTCCTATCCCAGCTTCCAGCGCCGCAACATGAAGGCCGTTGGATCTGTCATCAGGATCCAACGGCTCACGACGTCCCAAGCATCCCCAGCCATCGTGCGCAGATGCTCCCAGAACTCCAAGACAGTGCGCGAACCAGCCAGCTGCAGTCTCACGTGAAGCCAACCCTGCTGCCATGCCCAGCGCCGCCTTCCACGTCCAGATCGAGCCTCTGTCGACCGTTCGTCTCCACCAGTCAGCACCCACCATGCAGCACGAACCAACCGGGTGCTACCCACGTGAAGTCCCTCGGGACTGTTCCCCATCGCCCGTGCCCAGGCTGTTGAAGCCCCGTGACTTGCTCGCTCCAGGGTCCTGCACACAAAACAACAGAACACGAGGAAGCAAAAAACGAGGAGATCGACTAGAAAAACAGACAAAAAAACAAAACTAGAGGGAGGGGAGATCAACTAGAAATAACAAGAGGAGGGGAAGGACAGAAAAGAAAAAAAAAACCCACAAGGGGAGGAGTGATCCTAAAATCGAAGATCAGCCATCAACAGAACAAAAAAGAGAAAAATACCCAGAAGATCGAGTTATCAGCGAACACAACCAGAGATAACGACGAATCCAAAAAAACGTTGGTAAACCGAAAACTTACTTACCTGATCTAAAGGCTTTCGTCGTCCCAGCTAGGAATCCCTACCCCGCTTGTGAGAAGGTAAATCCTTCATCTTTCGTGGTTTTCCAGTCGTGTACGTCCGTTTTAGACTCAGGTTTCAGGGATTTAGGGGGTTTCGGTCTAAGACTAGTGAATGTTTGGTTAGATAGAGAGGTGGTGGCCCTTCATCGGAGTCAGAACCGCGGTGGTTCCATGGTGTTTGGGTAAGTGAAATAAAATGGGTTTAAGGATAGTAAGGGTTTAGATTTGAGTTTTGGAGATGATTCTTTTGAGTGGGTTTTGACCAGAGTCGATTTCTGGCCTTTTAGGCTCCTCATCGGAGCCATTTGGCGGCGGAGGCCACGGCGATTGGGGGATTCAGTGAGGGTTGAAGAAGAAGAGGGAAGAGGTTGAGAGAAAATGGCTGAGGTGAGAATGAGGGGCTCAGAGGAAATGATTTAGGGTTAGAAATGTTACCCTAAAATCCCATATATCAGAACGCCGAACGGCGTCGTTTAGTCAACTCCAAAACGACAGCGTATTGATGTCTGAGGGAGATGCGCCGTGTTTTGGAAGTTGGGTTAATCGCCTGATAGGCCATCGTGGTTTTGTTTTGTATTATTTTGGTCCCTGAACCGAGCTTTATTGATATTTTGATTTCGCCTCGTAATTTCCAGCGTTTTACATTTCAGTCCAGAATCATGCAAGGGTTGTTTTCGTGATTGTTATACATTGGATATGTAATTTGAGAAGCTTTCAATTTGATCCTATGCAATATTTTGGTTATATTATGTTTGCAGTACCCAGAAATGAAAATGTTATGAAAAAGGTTGTTGTTATTTATTTTTTATGTTTTAGTCTTTTAATATTTTATGCATGATTGTTAGGTTAATTTAGATTTATTTTAAATTATATGCATGTATATATTATTTCAAGCATGTTGTTCATACGCACGTAGGTGTAATTTATTTTTATGAGCATGTTTGAATTCGTTCACTTTTCGCATATTTAATTATTTTTGCATTAACATCACTT